GTTAGAACCTACACTGAAACCATTGCTCCTAATTGTAATAAAGAAGTTGTTTGTCCATATGTCTCATCCTTACTCATTACAAATTCAGTAACATATTCTATCATAAACTTCAGATGGAAAAACAACACCAGTAATAACTTTTTTTTAGTGCTGCAATTAGGCCATTTACAAAAAGGCCCAGTGAACATAGTTCACAGGAGCTAATGCATTGCACACACCCGACATGTCATATTGGCGGGGGATGTGAGTATTTCATGCTTGTTCTGTATAATACAGGCAAAATATTTCAAAATTGACTGTAATTGTTTTGTTACATAAGATTATCAGCAGCCAACCCCTGTCTGTGACATCACTTCTGGAGCACAAACTTAAATATTTGATGTCAGAATTTACGATCTTTATTTTTGTTTTTCTCTTGTCATATTAAACGGAAAATGACAAATGAAACAATCTTCGATTAAGAAGATCGTCAACTTTCGCCAAGGCATATACATGAAGGCAATGTAAACTTTGTTGATATTAAAATAGCAATAAGTTATGCCGAGGTCGGGCAAAGTGCGCCATGTTTGGTGTTCGAACGTCTGCAAGCATCATGACACGGTACTTGTATTTTTGTATATCGTAAATATTCAACCAAAACACTTGAAATTAGGATTGGTGATAATTTTATAACGTGACATGTTAGATAAACTTGAATGTTCGTATTTCTGCAACTGACATGATGACCTCAAGATTTAGTTTTTTTTCTGTTCAACGTTTCGATAATAAATTTACAGAAATGGTTCATAAAATACCATTGTGCTGTTATTTACCAATAAAAAACATCGAATTTATACTCATTAAAAATTAAGATATCGGAGATTATTGAAATTAATTTGCACCAATTTTACGATTTAAAAACGTTCCTAACATGAATCGTAAACCACCTTTAATAACGTAATTGAGGCAAGATCACGAACATTTACAAATTTTGTGTTCATTTTGGTCTTAACCTTGGTATGATTGAAAACATCAGGAATTGTTCACATAATAATGTGTATTTTTCTATCAAGAATAAATGTGCAAAATATTTCTTCAATTGGCCATTGTATAATGAAGCACCGACCGTTTGAAATCACCCACCCTCTTTACAACGCCTTATGCTAAAATCAATCCAACAGGCAGGGCTAAGAAGTGTGAAAGCAATTCAGCAGGCTAAAGGTTAAAGTAACTACAGGCATGGTACTTTCTATTTAAATTTGCCTTGCAGTTGGCTTATTTTTCCCCAACTGGAAGTGCTCAGTTTAAAGAGGCTAGAGGCATTCTCTGACAACAAAGTTGTACCACATTGACAAGATTAGGGATCAACAGTGAATATCAATAGATATTGGTGAGATCAGCTGTCACCTGATTTGGTGAAGTAAAAATGCTTCATGATACATGTTTCTGGTAGGAAAGTTTTGAAGGCAGGAATAGGTGGGCTATGGGTCCGCTTCTGTTTATGCATGTAATGAGAACACCTTTCATGTTTTCTTTTTCCTTTTTGATGGTAAAATATATAAACAGGATTGATATAAATCTGCAAAATGAACAAAAATATGAATTCAGTGGTTAAGTTATACCCAAATGGAGTTGAAAGATTTTATGTTTTTACAATGAATCAACCTAAATTATAAAAAAAAACCTCCAGGGCTTATCTCTCTTTGATTGTGATGCAATAGGTGCCAACCATAGGCAAATTGATTTTGACAGCTTGCATGATTCAGATGTAAGTAGGGGCACGGGTGACCCAGTCATCTAAGGTGTCGCGATTCGATGTGCATGCCCTTGGACACGCCAGAAACCTATGATTGTGCGTTCGAATCTGGTTTTGCCCCGATTATGTTTCTAGGTTTGTCAGCACCACACCCATACCCGTGTGACTGGGTTTCACCTAAGTGGTAAAGGTCTGAGGCCTGCATCACTTCGGGCTTTCCTCCCACATTAGGCTGACACGCCGTGATATAACTGGAAAACTGTTAAAAGCAGCATTAAGCCCAACTCACTCACTCACTCACTCAGATCTTAAGTATGTTTATGTCCAGTAATGAATGTATTACAAGGGCCAACACTGTCAGATTATTTAGAGTGTGTAAACAAACCAACCCCAACTGATCAGGCCATTGGGGGTCAGTGCATTGTTGCAATGTATGTAGCCTGAAGCAATCCTGAAACATAGATGTCTCTACCCGTGAAGATCTGGATTAGAATAGGTCTTCAGCAATCCATGCTTGCCAAAAGAGGCAACTATGCTTGTCGCAAGAGGCGACTAACAGGATCGGGTGGTCATCTCACTGACTTGGTTGATGCATGTCATCGTATCCCAATTGTGTGGATCGATGCTCATGATGTCAATCTTTGGATTGTCTGGTCCAGACTTGATTATTTAAAGATCGCTGTCATATAGCTGGGATATTGCTGGGTGAGGCATTAAACTACAAATAAACAAACAAAAATCAGCAACGAAAATAGACATTATCTGTATCAAGTAAGGCTAAGGCCCATTTGATAACATTTTTACTGCATTACCGTTATGTACTTTGGTCGATACTGCATACCTGGATCTAGGTTATGTAATGCCTGTTACACAATGATTTGCCAAATAAGATAATTGAACAGTGTCTTTAACATTCCCTTTGTTGTTTATCGAGATGGAAAACTTTGCTTCATGGTATTCTGAAACATGTTCCTTCTGAAAAACTGGGTCCATAGTTAGGAGTCTGGATTGAGTAATACATGCATATACATGTTGTAGTAGTTATCTGCATGCTAAAACATAATACCACCACAGTTGCATCATCAAGCTACAGTCTGCACAAAGACAGGAATTTCAACTAACACATCAAAACGATTGCATTTGTTGGCACCAATGATATCATATCAAAGGCTGATAACTCTGGTCTGTTTTTGTCCTTTGGGCGAACACATTGTTTTAACGCTATTAGGTACTAGATTTACTTGGTTACATGATAATGTAGTGCACAAATTACCTTTAATAATCATACATCATGAAAGAAAAATGATGAACATTCTCTTGTCTACTTCAAGAAAAGGTTTACATTATTATGTACACTTCCCCTTTAAAGGTAGCAATCATGGAACGTTCTCTTTTTTGGGTTGTACTGCTTTGGTCACACGTTTTCCTTAAGGCTAGAAAAAAAATGATAGCCTTGGTTATCAGGCACCGCCCGCATCATCATAAAGTCTGCCGCACTGTGATACAATATAGCATGCAGTTACTTCCCTTAACATGCACACTTCTTTACTATGCATCTCGTATTATGGTCATGGTAGCAATAGGAATTTGTTTGCTTGTTTATGTAGGGAGGCCTTTCCCAGGTTGATGATGCACAACTGTTTATTTGGTTAAATACTAGTTTAAACAAGCAAATAAAACCCGCCCGCTGCACTAAGTTTTCAAAAATCATTGCCTGATAACCAATTCTTAAGCCTAATCTGAAAGTGATGTCATTTTCCGGAAATGCTTATGACTTTGTAACTAAGATGACAACATTCATGTGGTTAAGTTGTACTACATAAGACAAAATATACTACCGACAATTATATGGGAACTGATGAAATGATAGTGAAGGTGTAATGATGATAAATATCTGTAAATATAATCAGGGCATTGAAATGCATATCTGATGTGTCCTCCTTTATGGCAAACTGTTGATTAACTTGTGTATGGTTACCCTTAGTATTGCCCGCCATTCCACCAACTACCCCAAACTGGGCCATGTTAGCAGGTGCTGGGTCTCTGGCGTACACTCTACTCCCAAGAACATCCCATAGATGCTCTATTGGGAACGTGTCAGTGTATTTAGCAGGCTTGTCCAATGTCTATATGCCTTCTCATCGGAGATTATAATTGACGACCTGGACACGATGTGGTCTGGCATTGTGATCTTGCAGTTCAAAATTTCTGCTAAAAATTTCGTCAATATGTTGCTGGCCAGTCAAAAGTCCATTCACAATAACCATATCAGTTAGCCTGTGATGAGTGATACCAGCCCACACCAAGACACATCCATCCCAATACCGATTATCGTCAAGAATTATTGCCTTAGCATACTGCTCCCTACTGCGTCTCCAACACCGTGTGAATCAGAAGCAAAACCTCTACCTTTTACGGTAGATGTTGAAATTTGCCTCCCTGTCATTGTACATAGGACAGATTTGAATCTATTGCATAGTGCATTTAATGTAATGAGACTGCCTTGTCTTGCTGTCGTTTTCCAGGCCCACCATGCTCAGGTCCCACTGCAACCCCACCCGTTTGACGGTACTTGTCCCACAGTTGAGAAATTACACTTTTTTATTTCCTAACATTCAGACTACTTGGGATATTGACATACCCCAATCTATTGTACCCACAATTCACCATTTTGTCTGTTCATTAAGATACTGTCTCAGAGGCATTTTTTAGTGTGTGCGTAGTTCAATTGCATTTGTGATTGTCACTTCCCCTGTAGGCACACACACTTTGGCTTCTATGTGCATGTGCATCACGTGCTGTTCATGCATGATGTGAAATTTCATAGTGATTAGATGTTGCGTTCAGATGCTACACCATGGTATTGTACATAAGATAAGATAACCCTTTATTGTCCTCAAGGAAATTTGGGTTGCATCAGCACAAGGTCTCAGCTCATTGATAAACACAAATGCAAATTAATATGAACATGACAAACATGTACACCTCAATGATAGCTACATTCAAATCATTAGTTCCCTTATTTTTTTGTCAGTAGTATAAATATATATTGGTCATGTAAGCTGTCACCTCATTTGATAAGTTACAGTTAAAATAGTTTGTGACATGTTTCTGTAGGGAAACTTTAAGAGCATTGAGCGCAGGATGGGTATGTGGCTACTTTTCATTTTACTTGTAAAGCAAACAGTTTCTTTCTATATGTATATGTTTGCAGGTTTTTGTCATTTGTGATTCAGTGTTATAAAATTTGCATGTTAACTTTCAGGATGAAAACACAGTATTCCGGTATGATTCTGGTAATGTAACTGCCACCAGTCATTCACAAAGGTGAGATTGTGATGTCATTCTCTGTGTTGGGAATATGGGGGGAGGGAAGGAAAAACATATTGTTTTTGCCTCAGTTCCCGTCAGCATTCCCATCCTATTCCGAGACATAACTTAATAACCATGTTTTTTACATTTTCCTGATTTTATTTTTTACATTTCCATGGAAACAATTTCAACTTTGTTTCAAACGTGGGTAGGGTTTGTTTTCCGTTTGTTTTCATAGAAACATGTTGACATATTTCAACGAAACTTGGCATGTGTATTACTCATTAGCTGAACTGGTGCCTTTTGCTATTTTATAATTTTCCAAATATATTTTTACGTTTTCATTGAAACAATTTTGATAGTTTCAAATGAGGGTAGGCTTCGTTTTGGGCCATTACTTGAAAGACTTTTAACATATGCATATGCAGTGCTCATCAATTTAACTGGTGCCTTTCATCTATTTTGAAATTTTTCCATATTTTATTTTCTTATGTTTCCTATAATTCTTACAAACTCTCTACCTCTATTAAATCACTGCCGTAAATCCTGTATTTTGGCTTCAATCACACCAACTAAAATTTTCAGATTTTCAAAAAACGTCCTCTTCACTGTCAATCACACACAATTAGTTGTTCCCAAGTAGCATCGTAACCACCCAAGCTATGACGTATGCATTGGCTTGAACCTCACTTTTTTCCTGTGTGTGCTAGAGTCAGCACCTATTGTAATAGTAGTAACAATCGAACACTTGGTAGTAAATCACATTAATCTAAGATTATTCTTATAGTTTTCTATAATAACAGACAATAAGTTGATATTAATAGCTGCTTCAAGGGTGACGATCGCACACACGTGAGCATAACTGGTGCTTGGTGTTTGTGAGGTCAAAATGGACTCTCCCTCTACTCCCTGGTGCAAGGAGTGTAGCCATTTATGGTCACGGGAGATCCTCATGTTAACTGTACTAAGTGCAAAAGCACATCTTGCTATGAGGACAAGAGATGTGAGAGGTGCGCCAACACATCTAAAAAGACCTAAGAAAGCCGAGGCTTAAACCAAGCCTAAGAGACGCGAGGCAGCCAAGAAGAAAGGTCAAGGTCATGAAATAGGCTCTCATCCCAGCTTCTCCCACTTCAGTTGATCAACCATCTCCTGCACTCTCCATGAGTCTTATTCAACAGCTCTTTAAAGAACAGCAGGAGATGATGAAGAATTTGTTTGAGGGGAGGCTCTCAACCCTGGACGAAGAAATGGAGAATATGAAAGAGATAGCTCTTGCAAAGAAGAATTATCTGGTCACTAGACCACATAGGGGGATGCCATCTGTCAAATCAATACACACGACCGTAGGGCCTTCTCCAGCCGACCAGCCAGCTGAGCCGTAGGGTATGAGCCGCAGGTTTTTCCCTAACGTGAGACAATACGGTACGGGCACCGCACAGTATCCATGGCAACCCAGCAGACAGACCAGCCGTCCAGCCAGCTGACCGTTAAAACAGCGTAAGGTCGCCACACACACTCCATGGGCCAGCCGCCCACGGCAATGCAGCCGACTGATCAACCGTTTAGCCCGCTATACGGCTACAACACGGACTCCATGCCAACAATCCAGCCACTCGGCTTACTGTATGATCTCCATCAACCGACAGCTCCCAAGCAAGCTGCATGGACTACTACATGGGATCATCCAACCAACCGACTAATCCGCGGACCATGAAGATAACTACCGTACTCGTACCGTTACACATGGACCATCGCAAGTCGTACAGAATCTAATCATACCGGAATCATGGACACCGGAGGACGATGGACCCCACGGGGTAGACACGGTGGACTACTATTGCAGGGTTCGCCCTGACGCAGAAAACCTGCGTATTTGACGCATAAATAATTGAAAATACGCTAAAAATATTTTCTACTGCGTCAGTGTTGACGCAATGAAACAGCCGTTACAATTAGTAAACTGAGACCTTTCCGTCTGTCAGAAAGAAAATACAGTGATCCCTCGTTACAACGCTACCTTCGGGGTCCAAATAATTGATGAGCGTTATAGATGATCAGCGGTTAACTCTTTCAACACCGTAGGCCGGTTTTCGGCCAAGAAGCATCGAGTCCCCAGACACCGTAAGCGGGTTAACCGGCCAAGCCGTAGTCACGTTAAAATAGTATATATTTTTATGGACCTACCTGTAATATCATTCATTTATTATCCCCCGCCGCGCGAAAGCGCGAAGCGGGGGATATAGTATTCACGACCGTCCGTACGTACGTCCGTACGTCCGTCCGTACATCCCACCTGTTTGTTGCCGCGATATCTCAAGAACTAAACACTGGATTGTCTTCATATTTGGAACTATGGTGTATATACAGACTCCGCAGACACCAGTCGGTTTTGGTGACCTTGATCCCATTTTCAAGGTCACAGCAGACAAATCTGCTTTTAGAGTTGGAAAACGGTGTTGCCGCGATATCTCAAGAACTAAACACTGGATTGTCTTCATATTTGGAACTATGGTGTATATACAGACTCCGCAGACACCAGTCGGTTTTGGTGACCTTGATCCCATTTTCAAGGTCACAGCAGACAAATCTGCTTTTAGAGTTGGAAAACGGTGTTGCCGCGATATCTCAAGAACTAAACACTGGATTGTCTTCATATTTGGAACTATGGTGTATATACAGACTCCGCAGACACCAGTCGGTTTTGGTGACCTTGATCCCATTTTAAAGGTCACAGCAGGCAAATCTGCTTTTGGAGTTGGAAAACGGTGTTGCCGCGATATCTCAAGAACTAAACACTGGATTGTCTTCATATTTGGAACTATGGTGTATATACAGACACCGCAGACACCAGTCGGTTTTGGTGACCTTGACCCCATTGTCAAGGTCACAGCAGGCAAATCTGCTTTTGGAGTTAGAAAACGGTGTTGCCGCGATATCTCAAGAACTAATCGCTGGATTGTCTTCATATTTGGAACTATAGTGTATATACAGACACCGCATACACCTGTCAGATTTGGTGACCTTGACCCCATTTTCAAGGTCACAGCAGGCAAATCTGTTTTTGGAGTTGGAAAACGGCGTTGCCACAATATCTCAAGAACTAATCGCTGGATTGTCTTCATATTTGGTACTATGGTGTACAGGCGGGGGATATTTCGTCACTCTGTGACAAATACTTGTTAAATCTATCACATTTCACAATGTCTGAAATACGTATTCCATTTCAATTTATAATTTTTTATCGATAAATTAAAAAAATATTCACTATTTCCCCGCGATGTTGTTGAAAATAAAATTCTCGGACACACATTTCGACAACGGGTCCACATCGAACATGTCAAAGAGCAAAATAAAGGCGTGTTAAACAAATCTTTAAATATATTATACAAAGTAATAAATAAAATCAACAAAAATATATCTAAAAGTAATCAAGCTTACATCTAAGTTATTATTTCCATCTTTTTGTGCGATCGCCTGTAATATAAGACATCTCGGCTTTCGTCGCCTTGAATTCTCGGCTCGGACAAGATGTTTAATGCAAAAATATATGCGTGAAAAATCTTTGTCACAGCTCGTAACCTAGCACGATACATTCACGAAGTTCCATATTTTTAATATGTATCGTGATTTCCTGCTTAAAACGTTCAGAATAACGATTTAACAAAAACCTTTCGCCAACTTCTGAAATTTATCAAACACGAGCTTGGTATCACAGCTGTAATTTGATTAGCTGCCTTAGGTCACGTGCTCAAAATTGACCAATCGCGAAACTTGTAGCAGATTTCGGAAAGAAAGCGTCATTGGAAATCAATTTTATTCCAATGAAATCGCTTGTTATAACTACGGAAAAAAACAGCCGATGTTACGAGCGTGTAGATAAAGGAATAAGCTTTCTAGCGATGTGTCATTTGCCATTCTTTGACGAACGTGTTATTCATACGAAGCCTTGAAAACGGGGGTATTTCTTCTTGTTACTGAGCGGACAGCCGCTGTTATCGGGAAATGGGTATAATTCTTTTTAAAATGATTTTCCAATTACGTAAACAATGAAAATAAAACAGAAATAGGTAAGTGGATTTTATGAAATCTTATATTTGCCGAAAATCGTCAAGTTTTCGCTTCCTTGGTCCTTAATCTGGATGTTAACAACGTATTAGCTTACATTTTTTATTTACAACGAACTTAATTAAGTTGTAAATGCATTATTTTATATAATGTGAAAAACATAACTTTCATATTTATAAACCATAGGATCAGACCTTTCAAATGGTGTATAACATGTAGTGGCAAATATATTTTACAAGCAGGTATTTTCTTTGATAAATGTTGGCTTCATCTATCACACAAGAGTCTCTGGGAACTCGGTGTCCCAGCAGTAAACACTTCTGTTTGACTGGTGTTGAAAGAGTTAACGAAGGTCGAGTCGCAGGTGGTAGACGACAAACACAACAGTATACATGCTCTGCCTAGTACCTATCACGATCTACGTTGCACTTTTCACAGTTTCCAAAAAGATTAGAATAGAAGTTACATGTATTTATGATTCATAATGTAAAAAAAGATTTATCGAGTATTAGGCCCAATATACTTGACTTTGTGAATCAAAGATATTTATGTTACAGTTAAAATAATGAAGAATATAAAAAGTTAAAATCTTACCTTGTTTATGTTTACTTAATTTTTCATCCTGATAGCGAGATTCTGAGATTAGTTAATATGACTCCCAAAAATTGATGAATGACTCCTAATCTGAAAAGTTGGGGGTCATAATGACTCCCAATTTTTAAGGTCTAGGGCAAACCCTGCTATTGTTATCCATCCCCCACGGGAGCTACCCACAGTCACTTGGAAGCAGAAACGGAGTGTTTTGAAGATCAGGCTGACGACTCACCTCAGCGGGATAACATGGAGGCACTGTTTGCGTTGTGTTCCAAAATAATGGGGTCCCCTGGGACGTGGTAGCCGCGAGCGCCGTAGGCGCGAAGCTATCTAGGGGGGTTTGGGTGCATGCC